GAGAGAGAGAGAGAGCGGGAGAGAGCGAGGGAGAGCGAGAGAGAGCGAGAGAGAGCGAGTGAGAGCGAGAGAGAGAGAGAGAAAGCGAGAGAGAGCGACAGAGAGCGAGAGAGAGCAAGAGAGAGCGAGAGAGCGAAAGAGAGAGAGAGAAAATAGAGAGAGAGAGAGAGAAAGAGCGAGGGAAGAGAGAGAGAGAGAGAGAGATAGAGAGAGAAAGAGAGAGAGAGAGAGATAGAGAGAGAGAGAAGAGAAGAGAAGAGAAGAGAAGAGAAGAGAAGAGAAGAGAAGAGAGAGAGCGAGAGAGAGAGAGAGAGGGAGGGTGAGAGAGAGAGGAGAGAGCAGAGAGAGAATAGAGAGAAGAGAGAGAGGAGAGAGAGAGAGAGAGAGAGGCAGAGATAGAGGCAGAGAGAGAGGCACAGAGAGAGAGGCAGAGAGAGAGAGAGGCAGGGAGAGAGAGGCAGAGAGAGAAGCAGAGAGAGAGAGAGGCAGGGAAAGAGAGGCAGAGACAGAGAGAGGGCAGAGAGAGAGAGAGACAGAGAGAGCAGAGAGAGAGAGAGAGAGAGAGAGAGAGAGAGAGAGGCAGCTCAGTCACACTTAAATCCAGATTCGTCCTCACCGAGTCCCACCACCAAGGGAGCGCCAGCAAGGAGATGCACATATGGGGATCCCCACGCAGTGAATAATTCCCTACTGTTATTGCTGTTCCTCGCCTCCTCCGCATCCCCCTCTGTTGCTGCCTCCGCCTCTCAAGACCTGCCCATTTCCCGCCGCCTGAGCTGGGCAGGCCTGCGGGCGCCGTATGGGGTCGGCAGGATGAGAACGGAGCGCCCCCCCAATGCCGTGCTTTCGGGCGAAGGCTCTGAGGCGGGCGCGGGGGAAAAAGGAGGCAAGACATCGCGCGCGCGGATGCCATTAAAAGAGATGTGCAACATGTCAATGACAGCATACAGGGGCAACGAGCCGCCAGGGGAAGAGATGGTGGGGGGATGACAACCAACAACTTGCGAGAAAAAAAAACACGTCTTCCCACCAATGTGACAGCATGGGTGGCAGCGTGGCGAATTTCGGGAAACGCCGTCGGGCAACGGAAATAATGCTTCATTCTGTCTACAGCAGGTGTTCCACATCCGAGTCTGCAAGCACCAGTAACTTGACGATGCCTAGCAGACGCGCTCCAACTATTGGTCCAACTCTTGAGTGTCGAGGCAAGAACGAACGGGGCGAGTTTTATAACGCCCGCGCCAAACCTCCGCACCAACAAATCTACTTGGTGCGACGAGAGCTCCAAATCCCAATACTTAAGCTTCGGGTGCAAAGCCACGCAGACATGTTGTGGGCCCAACCTCCGCAAGTGCTTGCACGCGGACCGTTGGCGCGAAATCTCCCAATCGCAACTGGGTACCCCAGGGGTACTAATTCGACTCCTAACGCTCGCATGCGTACTCAAGAAAACTAAGCGCTGGAACATATGCTTTTAACGGCATGCGGCTGCAAAGTCACTCTCCCCCCAAAAGACGCCACGCTCATATACTAGACGGCAGTATGCAGTGGGCGTCAGCGCACAACGGTACATCAAAATTCGAACTTCCCAGTCTAAATCCCGAAGAAGAGGATGTACTCTTAGATCGTCTAACCGAAGGAGGGCACGGTGTGTAATAGAGAAACGCGGGTTATTTGCCAGCAGCTGGCTTGATTCTCGGTAGGCCATGAGAACTTCTTTACAGACGGGGGATGACTGACCGACGTACACCAGGACTTACGTGCCGACGGAATTGACTTGAGCGATCGACGCCATCAGAGAAGAAACCTGCGGCTTTCACTTCTTGGACTCTGGCAGCATTTCCAAGCTGGGAACGTGCCAAGCACGCAAAACAACCTCACGGCCGAGAGCCACTTCAACATACTTGGTCTGATTGTCAATCCTGAAGCTTGCCACGTTTATGCCGACTTACCGAAACTTCCGAAATGCTTCCTCACGATACGACTTAAGTATGACAGTCACAGATTTGCTGTAATCAAAGGTTCAGCCATACACAAAACTCGGATGGATAAGCATGTGTGGTAAATTGGGCAACTTGCGAACACTATCTCTACAAGAGATGCTTGTATCATCGGCGGAAGCTTCAATCTCACCATCCTCATGTGGTAAGCGACTCCGTAGGGTACGGATGAAGGGTCGAGCGCTAATGCGAAACGGGGACCGCTAAGGGGACAACCATGACGTACTCCACGCCCTACGTTGAAGCCTTCCGCTATGATGCCCCCGAACATTATTTTCATGTGCGCGTTGTCATAGAGGGCTTTGAGCGTCGTGATGAAAAACTTGGAATCCCACTTGTGGTCTAAAACCACCCACATCCGTTCAATATCCAAAGGCAGAAGGCCAGCATTGAAATCGAAGAAGGCGCAGCCTACGTCAGAGTTGGCGTGAAATGCGTCCCGCGAAGAGAGAAAGCCGTCGAGTCCTAAATTGTTGTCAACAAAAATATCGCCCCTTGGTGAACCTCCGCTGGTGTTGACCACAACGGGTTTGAGCAGCCTTCGCGAGGCTAAGGTTTAGACGCCCACACATGATTTTCATGTCGATATTACTTTGGGTAATAGGCCATTGCCCTTTCAACTCCCGAAGGTCCCTCTGCTTCCAGGGCCTTGGGCAGACATGCGCACAGACCAATATTGAAATCATCTGGGGCGGCACGGCCGTCAAGCGCAGCAAGGTCGAGGCTGCACAGGGCGCGATGTCCAGTGTCCCCACAGGAGCACCACGCGGGGAAGGGCACGCCGTCGATAGCTGGGATGGAGTCCTTGAGCTACGAGAGGTAAGTGAAACATTGCACGTGCGTGATTCTCCACTCGATGTCCAGAGGAAGGGCCCGAACATGCTCCAGAAGCCAAGCTTGCCCCCCAAGACGAGTAGGCTGTTTGCTGTGGACTTCGCCACAGTGTTCTGCAAGAACGGCGCCGGCAACATAAAGCTCGTGTTCCGCAGTGCCGTCGGAACGGGTCACTCCAGCTAGACAAAAGCCTGCGGGAACGCGTGGCCCACTGGGCCATATGTCGAGCGCATCGTTATTTTCTGACAGCCTTGAAACAAAGGCAGGGCGAGGGGCTGGGGGGAGAGATGATGATGTCGACGATGCTGATGCTAATCCTGACGCGCTGACGCGGATCCTGATGATGATGATGATGATGATGGTGATGATGATGATTTGGGTGCTTATGATTATGACGATGATGCTGGTGCTGATGTTGATGGTGATGTTGATGGTGACGGCGATGATGATGATGATGATGATGATGATGCTACTGCAGATGATGCTGATGATGATGACGATGATCTTGATGATGATGCTGCTGATGCCGCTGATGAGGGTGACGACGATCCTGGTGATGATGCTGATGATCATGCTGATTATGATGGCGATGCGGATTATGGTGATGCTGCTGACGACGGCGGTGATGCGGCTGATGGTACCGATGCTGATGATGCTGCTGATGATTGTACTGATGATGACGACGACGACGACGATGATGATGATGATGATGATGATGATGATGCTGATGATGATGATGCTGGTGATGACGATGATCCTGATGATTCTGCTGCTGATGCTGATGATGCTGATCATATCTGATAATGATGGTGCTGCTGATGATCTTGATGATGCTGCTGATGATGATGATGATGATGATGTGGAGGCATAACAGGAGGATGATGAGGAGGTGGAGGACGAGGAAGAACGAGGATAGGTGAAACGGTTGTGTACAAGACGGGTGATGAAGATGAAGATGAACATGAGGATGGTGATACTGATGATGATGATGCTGATGATGATGATGGTGGTGGTGGTGGTGATGATGCTGCTAATGATGCTGATGATGATGATGATGATGATGCCGATGATGATGATGATGATGATGATGATGATGATGATGATGATGATGATGATGCCGATGATGATGATGATGATGATGATGATGATGATGATGATGATGATGATGATGATGATGATGATGATGATGATGATGATGATGATGATGACGATGATCTTGATGATGATGAGGAGGAGGAGGAGGAGGATGAGCAGGAGGAGGAGGAGAAGGAAGAAGAGGAGGATGAGGACGAGGAGGAGGGATGAGGATTATCGGAGGAAGGGGGAGGAGGGGGACAAGGAGGAGAAAGGAGGAGACGGCGGAGGACCAAGCGCAGGGAGAGGGGAGGACCCGCGCCGCCTTCCCTGCCCCTCCCTCCGCCTTCTCCTCCGCCCTCCTCTTTCGCCATACCCCGCCTCCTCCCTCATCCTCTCTCCTCCTTCTCCTCCTCCTCCTCCTCCTCGCCCTCCTCCTCCTCCTCCTCCTCCTCCTCCTCCTCGTCCTCGTTCTCCTCCGCCTGCCTCCTCCTCATCTCCCTTGTCCTCGTCGCTCTGCTTTGGCAGCGGCGACGCCCCCCCCCCCCTCTCCCTTCCCCCGAGAGCGCCCTCGCGCAGCGGCGTGTAGGAGCCGCGGCTCGCGTGGCTGCCGAACGACCTCTGGTCGGGCCCCGCGCTCTCCGTGCTCTCCCTGCCCTCTCCGCCCCCGTCGTCGCCGCCACCGTCGCAGGAGGAGGGCACGGAGGAGCAGCACCGTGTTGAAAATGATGGAGGCGTCGGGGGGATAAAGGGCGGTGAGATGTGCGGAGGAGCCAGCAGGGAGGGGCGCTGGCCAGGAAAAGGATGAAGCGGAGGAAGCAAAGAGACAGACAGCGAGAGAGAGAGAGATGGACAGAGAGATGGAGAGAGGGAGAGAGAGAGAGAGAGAGCGAGAGAGAAGTGAAGACAGAGAGAGAGGGAGACACATGGATAATGCTCTATACTTACAAAGATGGAGGGATACATGCAAACACACACATATACATATCTAGAAAGAGAGAGGGGAGATAGAGAGAGAGAGAGGCAGAGAGAGAAAGACCGAGAGAGAGAACGAGAGAGAAAGAGAGAGAAAGAGGGAGAGAGATAATGATTATGATCACAACGCGCCGGGGAAGAACGAGACGAGGGCCAACTGGCACGACGCGAGAAGAGGAGGGGGCAGATGGTCAAGCCGTCCGTCCTCTGACCAGCAGGCGCCGGACCGCCCGCCCCTTCTTGGCGATTGCACGGGCTCTGGCGGCGACCAGGGCTAGGATGCAGTCGGGTCTCCAGCGGTTCTGAACGCGCAGTGTTTGAAGGTACCATGTGGGATCTCATGCGCAAAGAGCAGACTGTGTAGCAATCTTGGGTGGGCACAGGCGGTGAAAGGCGCACAGCACTCCATCACCTAGGCTCGCATCGGGAAAACTGCTGGGGAGGTGAGGCAAGACAGAGGAGAGGCACGTCAGCGCAACACGACAATCGAAATCATGCTGGATGTTCTCGCCTCTGGTCGCGCGGCACCCAACGCGGCAGGCAAGTCTCCCGTGCCCAAGCATGGCTGGAATCGCCCATGAGTTGCACACGCTTCTTAAAGAACAGGGATAACAAACGAAAAGGACCTTGGTGCAGCAGAGTCTAAGCCCAGGTGCAACAAGGTCGGCCACGCCATCGCATGAAAGGGGGGGATCATGGCGAACCCTCGGGGCGATCAGCACTTGGGCAGGGCGTCCAGGAAAACATCCCTTGAACTTATTCAAAGCCGTTCTCTGCAACTCATGGGTGTCTTCGTCAAACGCACATCAGGGCATCGCTGTCAGCTCAACCATTCGTAATGAACGGTCACCTAGAATAATTTAGAATATCATCGCCTTTCGGGGAAAAGGGCAACGGCAAGCACATCAACGTCGTCGCGCGGACGGCACTGAACTTCACGGTAACTCGGAACATGGCAGTCTGACTCTCAACGGCCAGCTTCCTGGGCGACGCTGGCCAACGCAAGCGACTCATATCGCACAACAGCTCGGTAGGAATGCTGTAGAAGGGGCACGCCGTCATCAGCTGAAGACCTTTGGTTTCGATTGCCACGACTTTTTGAAGGAGCATGCGCATCTGCATAACGAAGGAAGGACAAGACCGAGAACGCGAGCGACTAGCGAGTTATAGGCACATATGCTCCCCGTCAACCCCCAGACACAACGAGCGAACATGCCGAAACCGACAAACATACTTACGACCAGGCTCCTCCCAAGTCTTTAAGTAACCTCCAAACCCCAAGAAACCGCAATGATCTTTCCCATTGGTGCCGTGCTTCAGAGACTGAGCGTTCATGCGGACAGGGCGAAAGAGGGCGGCAGTCTCGTCGTCAGACATGGCGGTGGTGTGAACGACCTCGCACTTCGCGAGATTCAATAGCAAACTGGTACACTATCTGGCGCGAAGGGCGGTGCACTTCACACCAAACACAACGAACAGAACATTGGCGGCAGAGATCGGGATATCATCCGCAAATGCCCGAGGAGAGGCTTGGAGCAAGTGCAGCTTCCTCTGACGTGCTCGTACAACGGGTCTAAACACAAGGCAAGCGGAGCACCCGACATGGGGCATCCCTGTATAATCCCCTGGGGGATTCTGTGTCTAGGAGAGGTTTTACCGCATAGACATATGTGTGTATATAATTATGTTCATGAGCTCGCTCGCGTTAACGAGACACTCAAGCGCGTTTTTCAACCTTAACACATCAACTATCCAGTCTTGGCGAAGCGACGGGAAGGCGACGCGGACATCGAGGAGCAGCAGCCTAGCGTGCAACATCCCCCGAGAATAAGCAAACTCCAAGATGTTGGACATTGTCGAGCATAGATATGTACTGGAACTGGTTACCAAGAGGGAGAGATAGAGAGAGAATTAGACTATAGAGATATATGTATCTATATTGATATGTATAGAGAGGGAGATAGATAGATAGAGAGAGAGAGAGAGGACCAACCGATGATGATGCTGCTGCGGATGATGATGATTATGATGATGATGATGATGAGGAGGAGGACGAGGAGGAGGAGGATGAGCAGGCCCAGGAGGACGCGGAATACACGACGTTGTTAGTGGAGGTTGGAGCAGGGGGACTTATCGAGGGAGGGCTGGGGATAAGGAGGGAAAGAGAGGGAGAACGGGAAACGGAGGAGGAGGAGGAGGAGGGGGAGGAGGAGGAGGAGGAGGAGGAGGAGGAGGAGGAGGAGGAGGAAGAGCAACAGCAAGAGCACGATGAGGAGGAGGGGGAGATGGAGGGTTAGGCACCACGCCCGAGAGATTCTGGCGAGGGACAGACTCTCCTCGGAGATCGGGCGGCGCCTTGGCGCGGCACCCGCCTCGTCCGCGCAAAGGCTGGCGCGGCGTCCGCGGCAGCTTGAGCCATGGCCTAGCGCCGACAGGACGCGCTCTTGCAGTGCGTGGAGCCGGAGAACCAGTACCGGAAGGACAACACCTACAACCCATGGTCGCAGAACCTTCATGCAGCCAGAAAGTCGCGTGAACTCGAGGCACAAGGGGCCACTGCTGATCAGCTGCAAGCACGAACAAAAGCGCATCGCCGAGCAGAAAAAAACACCATCGAAGGAGTCCAGAGGGCATTGGAACTATGGGAGTCATGGTGGCAGTCACGCGGCAGTTACCACAATTCCAGCTTCGGCCACAACCACAGCTACTACGCCTACGCCAGTGCCTACTACGAGGATTTCAAAGCCTACGACGCCGACTCCAGGTACGCTGGCTACAACTGCGCATGCGCCGACGGGGACCTCGCCAGACATCTTCTCTCCCGGAGGCGATCGGAGCGCCCCGCGCCCCCCGCCAGGAGGCGGAAGAGGGCACCGAGCACGAGCAGGCGCACGTGGGGAACGGGCATGGAGGACCACGTCGAACACGACCGGGAGGGGGAGGAGGGAGGACGTCGAGCGCATGCTTCGCCTCGGCATCCTCGGCGTCGCGGGCGGGGGGAAGGAAGACACCTCGCCCGCGGGCGCCCTGCCCGACCTCGGCGTGCCTGGCCTCGGCGTGCCCTGCCGCGCCACGGCAGGACCTCGGCGACGAGGACGAGGGCCGGGATGACGAGGAGGCGGAGGCGCGGGGCCAGCCTTAGGTCGGGCGTGTCCCCCTGCAGGCGGATGTTGGATGAGAATGCGCCAGGACGGCCAAAAGCAGTTCCAGGAATCTCGTCTCCAGACTATTTTTGGACCAGTTCGGAGTGTCCCCCCATCTGTAGAGGGAGACGGGCCCGACTTGAGGCCAGCCGGAGCCGGGAGCGTGGGCCGCCAAGCGCGTCCCGCATGCGAGCTCCGGGCGTACCCTCGGCCGGCAGCGGCTCGTGCAGGCGCGCGCCCCCGAGAGGATCTCCGACAGCTTCCGCCTCGGGCCACGCCTTGGAGGCGGGCGCTTCCCCGACGGTGCGACGCCGACGAGGAGTCGGGCACACCCTGCACAGACAACAGGGGGAGCGAGCCCGAGGAGAAGGGGAAGGCGCCCGCCCTCTACGGACCTTCCCCTCGCTCCCGGCCTGCCGTCTCGGCAGCCCCCTTCCCCGTCCGCTTGTCGTGCTAACCTCCTCCTCCTTCTCTTTTGTGTGGCGGGCATGGGCTGGGGGGGGAGAAGACCGCCAGCCCTCGCCCGACTTCTCGCCGCCGACTGTTGCCAGCGCCGCTCTGCACTCTTGGCCACGAAGATCAGGTGCCAAACCCGAGAATGTACGGACAAGCACCAGTTTGGGCCCCCGACCATGTTTCTCCTTGTGCTTACACCGCTGTTGGGTTCCGTGGAGGCTATTGGGATGAACCGCCAAACCCCACAAGAAGGTGACCGTACAACCTGGCGCCGCACCAACTTGCGCCTGCCGGAAGCAGCGCCGCCTATTCCACCCGCCGGTTCTCTGCGCCCAGCCTCTCGACCTGCCCGCCCCAGCCTGCCAAGAGGAGTGTGGACGTGGGACTCATGACGGGGCGGCACGCTTGCCAGAGGAGGGCGACGGCGCAGGCAGACCTCGCCAGCTGCCAGCTCTCGCCCGAATTTTCATTGCCGGCTGCTGCCAGCCGCGCCTTGCCTCGCTCCTCCCGTCCCGTGGTGTCACTCGGTCCAACTTCAGTGCTGTATTCCCCTACACGCCACAAAGCGGCGCGCCTCCCCGTACCTAGTGGAGGGGAGCGCGCATCCCCACGAGCACGCATCTGTTGCCGCTGTGTAGTACGGGGTGGGGACAGATTTAAGGATGGATGGGGTGAAGAGAGGACGGAGACTGCCGGAGAGGCAGCACGAGTGTGAGCGACCCTGACCATAGGGCTGCTGATGCCCCCGAAGCCCCCTTAGAGAACCCCACCCCCCGGGGCTCCCCATGGGGCGCGTCGGCTGTGCTGGTGACCCTCTCCCTCCCCCTTCCCTTCCTTCCTTCCGCTCCCTCGAGGCGGCCCGCGGTCGGGGCGCCCGCTCGGCAGGGCCGGCCGGCGCGAGCTCTTACTCTTTCCGCGGGCGGGCCACCTGGCGCCCAGCCCGCGGCTGCCCCTCCCCGCGGCCAGGGCGCAGCGGGTGGCGCCCGACGCTGTCGCGGGGGGCCCCTGCCTGCCGGGTCCCTGGGGAAGGGGGGGGCCCCCCGGT